ACAGCTAGCACAGATAGCCCTTATGTAGCTTTGCACGAAATTCAAAAACAAACAAACAAACAAACTTATATTTGCTAATATAAGGCGACATTATTTAGAAAGGTTGTTTATGAACATTCCATTTTAACTGTTTAGAATATTAACTTTTCATTTAAAACATCTTAATATTTTCAAATTCCTTTTGTAAATATTCATAAGTTCTAGTGATCCTTTAAGCAAGATGAATTAATTTTGTAATAAAACTTGCTTTAAACAGATCTAAAATAAAACTGTCAAAATGTATTAGTAAAAGTATTAGCCAGTAAACATATTTTTATACTATACTTCAGACTTAAACTTGTAATTATGTTGTTTTACAAAAAGCAAGTTGATATATTTGTTGATGTTCTACTATACATTTTAACTGGCTATTAAGATACTTAAAAAGATAATCATTGTGTTTAGGATCATTGAAAACAGGCTTGAAACTGAAGGGTTAACTTTTGAACTGTTGTTTTTCATTATAGGAAAGGAACTAGTTATCATGTGAATTTGCTAGCACTGATCGCACTGCCACTTCATCAGTTTAGTTATATACAGTGATGCAAAATAGAAAATGAGATTCTATTTGAAAAATCTGTGAATTTGTTAACCCTGATCCCACTGCCACTTCATCAGTTTGGTTATATATATAGTGACATAAAATAGAAAATCAAATTATATATATATATATATATATATATGACAAAAATACATAGGAAACTTCAGTATGGTATTGTCATTCTGATATAAAAGACCCACTGTTAGTTGCAGAATCTCTTTCAAAGGAATATTGGTGTACAAAAATGATCCATATCTACAGTAAACATTTGGATTGATTCCTATCTATGTGACATTCGTATCTGCAGATAGGGTTGAAAACTTCTCAAATAACAAATTTTTGAACAAGAAGATAAATCCATTTCATTGTGTATCAGCTATAATTTATTCTCATATTTTAAAGATGACATCCTGGGAATTAACCAGCTAGTTTCTAGAACGGTTTACACAGTTTTAAAGATGACATCCTGGGAATGAACTAGGTAGTTTCTAGAACAGTTTACACATGCTGAATATACCATTACATTTAGCTTTGTTTTTTCTAATGAAATGCAGAACTTAAGAGTTTAACAAAAATGTCTTCTGTGCAAGTGTAGATATGGATACTAACATTTTCTCTGCAGGTGTGGATATGGATCTTAATGGGTTTTTTTCTGGAGGTGTGGGTGTGAATCAGTCCAAATTTTTACTGGGAAAGTGTGGATATGGATCCTATTTTCTGTGCAAGTTTTAAGAATAGAGTTAGTCCAGCAGTTTGCCAATTATAAGCTAATGCACACACAGAACTTTTGTCAAATAATAGTTTTATGTTTTAGAGTTATAATCCACTATATTCAGTATGACTGCTGTTTCCCTTATCACGTTTTCTCATAGCTATGAAAAAAATGTATCTTTTACTTTGTCTGAGAGGACTTTTCTGCTTAATTTTGTAACTTTAATCCTATTGATTTGGATAAAATTTTAAAATTAAGATTCCTCTTTCCTATTTTACAGGGAGAAAGATTTGAGAGTTGTAAGACCCTTAGTGTATGTTAGAGAAAAGAATCTTCGAAAATTTGCTGAACAGGTGAGTTCGCTAAAATAAAGTATTTTAACCACTGACCTTTCGTTAGCAATTTAAGTTTGTAAAATTTCATCCTTCAAGTTTCATATCTATTCTGCTGTAAAAAATATGGTACTTATCCTTATACTGACAGCTAATAGATGGCAGTGTGTTATAATTTAGGAACTTTACGCATTGCATAAGAACAGTTTTGTGGGTATGCATAGTGTAAAACAAGTATATCAATGTAACATACATTTCTTCCATTTCTGGAGCATATTGTAACTTTCAACTATAAGTACAGCATTTGGCCAATCTTATGGAATTACAGATACTTTAAAAAAATGTGATTAACTTGATCTTTAAGCTTGTTGTCATTAGTCAATGTTTTAAAGATATGGTTTCCAAAGAAAACTTTTGTTTCTTTTTTTATGATATAATTAAAGCAATTAACTTCACAGAACTTCAGGTTTCAATGGTATTCCCTTAACACGTACGTTTGATATATAGAATGTTAGCATATTGTGCTGTCTTTCTTCATAAGTAAAATAAAAACCTTGTGTTAGATGTGCTATTTGACTCACTGACAACAAAACTTAATTAACATGTAACTCTATTTTGACCTACTGTCTTTTTTTTTTCCAGAGAAAACTTCCTGTTATTCCAGAAAATTGTCCAGCCTGTTTTGAAGCCCCAAAAGTACGTTTTTCTAAAGATTAAAACTTTAACTCAGGCAATTTTAAGTTATTTAATATTCTAGTTTTGCATAAAAATGTATAATAGATCTTACATTAAAGATTAGTGTGGGTATTATTTTATAGATGGCTTATTTGAAACTTGGAACCTTCTGTAATTTTTAGTTGATATAAAAAATGGGTTTAGTGCACTTTTTAATACTTTATTATCTATATTACTAACATTGTATTATTTAAGGACTTCACGCTCTGCAATGCTTTTTCAAATTCTCAGGTTTGATCAACTAAGTGGCAGCTGGCAACAGAAGTAAAATAAAATAAGTTAATATCTGTCTATCTATTTTGTTATTGCTAATTTTTAATGTATTTGATAAAAGAAATGAAGACAACATGTAGTACTCAATACTCATCTTTCTGTATTGAATCATTAATTTCTAGCAAATATACTTTATTAGAAATTCTGATTTTTTCTTTACAAAAGGCTTTTAATGTTGACTGAAAGATACATAAATCATATCGTATCAGATGACGTATCGATACAATCGTATCATGGCTTCACAATACAATACTCTTGTCATATCGCTGTTTTCACCGTGGAAGAAAAATAACTTATACAGCAGAACAGTTAAGATAGCAGTGGGCTTTAAACCATACTCCAAGTCAATTTGAAACAGTGTTCTCATCCACAGTGTGAAGCTTATGGTTATAAAAGAGAACATAAATTGGTCATATCTTTTGATACTGTTAGCAAAGTAATATGCAAAGATTTGAAGTTGGCAAAGCCTTACAAGCCAAAAGTTAACAAACTTCCAGTCTCGCCATGAAATCAGTTGCTGAAGAAACTGAAACCATATTATTTCCTCTTTTGTCACAAACCATTTGAATCTAGTGATGCGGATCAAATGGACTTTGGAATCTTTGATCCATTAAACATGGTTATGGAAGTCCATAGCCCATGTACAGTGGTAGTTCTGTGGATGAAGGGTTGGTCAAAATGTGTGTTCTGAAACTGAGCTTTCCCTCCTTCACACAAACTTTGCACATAGTGTGTAATTATGGTTATCCAAATGTGCATAACTAATGAAGGAAGAGGTGACTCCAAGGTCCTCAGTAGGATGATCCATAGATTGGGGAGAATCAAACAAATGCATTCTTTGCTTCTCCACACTTGAAGACATAGTATTAGCAAGTATTTTCAAATTCTCCTAAATTAGTTTAATAATGTTTGTCCTTTTGGTTGTTTGATGCATATGGTAAAACATACAGCATGAACAGATTATTCTTACATTTCAACTTGTGATCCAAATTGGCCTTAATTTTGTTACAATCTTACCTTTGCATAGCACAAACTGTAATACAGCTTTTATTATGGTGAATACACAACATTGGTATAATATTTTTCAAATTGTCTGGGATTTGTACATTTCTCTTTATACAGCACTTAATGTTCAGTTTGGTGTTAATATTATTGGATAAAAACACATTTTATTGGCCTAAATTATGCCTTTTTTTAATTTTAGAACAAGGTTTGATTTCTGCTTTTAAAAAATATATTTTGTAGGTTGGCATTGTGTAGTAGCATTTTCTAGACTAAGAATTCTTAGAAATACTAAGTGTAGTATTATTATAGTTTTTTAAAGAAAATATATAGTCTTTGAACATTTTTTCTATAGATTCACGCAATGTGATGCAATATTTTATTTTTCTAGATTGCAATTACCTGAAATAGTATGTTAAACTATTTTTGTATTCAATACATGGATATTATTCCAAGTAAAAAACTTGAGTTTCTTCATGATCCTCTCTTTTATTTTTCAAAATGTTGGCGTACAAATTTTATAATAAGAGTATTAGTTTAAACATTATATTCAATTGAAGGTGGGTCTTAATAAACCTAACACTGATTCATTCACGTTTGTGATAATGTTGGGAAAGCAGGTTAGACTTGTAATTAAAGAAATATGTGACAGATTTTTCTGAGGGAGATATTTATAAGGTGAGACTGTGAAATGATGTAGTACCAATGTTCATCATGAAAGCAAAACTCACTGCAAATCACTTAAAACAGCAGTGACTTCAAAGTCACATCTCAAGCCAATCCAAAGTAAAAAACACTTATCCATGAAGTAAAAGTTAAACTTATGAAAGAGAGACTGACCCCAAAAAGCAGACAAAAAAAAGTTAGAAACGCTATTTTTACAAATCTTTTATTGGAATTTTATAAAGGGCCAATAAAGAAGAATACAAAGAAAACATTGTAGTCAAGTTATGTTTTCTCATTTTTGTTAGGCTTAAAAAGTCTCTGTACATTAATTATACATTTGGTTTTCTTTTAGGAAAGACATCGAACCAAACAGTTACTGGCAACTCAGGAAATTCTATTTCCTAAATTATATGCATCTCTTCGTTCTGCAATGCATCCTCTGATGTCTATAAACAGGACTGGTATAGAAAGTAAAATTTTTAGTTGGGTATCTCAGAATAATGATGATAATGATGATGAGTTTTAGAAATTTACTAAGTACTGTATTCCAAAACTGTAATTTTATAAAGATTCTTAACCTGGATAGATAACACTAACCTCAAATTAACCAGTCAGTCACCTTTTTTTTGAAAAGCTTATGACCATCTCCAAAGATTGTTTATGGGTATACTGAGTCATCAGAAAAAAAAAGATAAGTCTGAAACAAATCATTGTTAAAGATTTTTAAGGTTTGTATAAAAGTGAGGCATTAAAAAATATTTATTTCAAAACATCAAAATTAAATATAGAAAAAAAATAAAAAACAACAACATACCAGTATAGATATGTACCAAATACTACATAAGACACCAGTATCATATTGCTTCACCTTTTCAGTTTAAATTTTCAAGATCACTATTGCCTTAAGAATGTGTAACTTATGTTTTCTGTCCTACAATGTCGAAAAGAAGAAAGTACAATGTTATGTAAAAAATCTATGTGAAATGTTTTTGCTGGGTTTGTAGAAAAAGGATTTTGAAAGTTTAAGATGTTATACACATTTGCAAGAAATATTACCATTTTGAATTTCTTAACGTACTTTATACATAATATCTAATAAATTAATTGTTTTTATTAATTATTATTATGATAACATCAAATCTTAATGTGTGATATATGATAAATTTACTGTGTTTACTGATTTATTTATAGATTCAGGTTTTAACTACAACATATATAATTATTATAACATCAAGTTGAAATCTATATGTGATTAGAAATACTGACATTCTCAACATATTATACATTTATACTGTTGGCACTGGATTAAATAGTATGTGGAACTTGACAATGTGTCTGTTTTGACTTGTCATTTACTTTTTTAAAATTAATACTTCAATGAACTGAAGACATTGAGATAATTGATTGGAAAGTTTTAAATGCTTTTGGTTTCCTATAATATCCAAACCTTACTATACACTTATAGATCTGACCATTTAATTTGTTTTTAACTATGTTCATTCATGACTGTGTAAAATTTATAACAGTTTTATTTGTCACTTTCTAACGTTAGAAGAAGTTGTTGATATTTAAATGAATGCAGTTTTTATCTTGTGTACTATTAATGTATATTTTATGTTATTGAAAGCTTTGCTGTAATAATGTGAAAAAAATATTGGAATAAAAAAGAAATCTTTATAAATATTTGTTTTGTTCTATGTTTTGAAGCTCCTGTTAAAACTCTAACCTGACCACCTTAAACAGCTATCTTTGTTTCTCTTGAGGCTGACAATATTTGATTTTCAGTGGACAAGAATCCTTCCAATAAATGTTCAATTAACTTTTAGTGTGTTGATATAGCGGTTGCATATTTATTTTAATTTAATTATATATGAAACACAACAGGTTTTCTTGTAATATTATCCCTTCATAACCAACCAGAAAAATGCAGCTATAAATAACATATGAAGTCTGTGTGATATAGATTAAAATTCATGTATTAAACAGATGAAAGTAAGAAAAATGTTCACGTATCTGAGAAAAAGAAGAAAGCTATAAAATCTGAGTAAGAAACTGGAAGCTAAGTTACTTCTGAATTTGTTTTTTGTGATTTCAAATACAGTAAAAGAGAATGTCATACAAGAAGTGACTTGTGGGACAAGGTTGTTTTTTATAAAAGGGTTGCAGGTGTTCTAACAAACTTCTTTTTAACTCTCAAGCTACCGTCATTTTTATACCATCTGCTTCCAGTGGGGTCCACATATTGATGAACAATATTGTGTGAGATCACTCACTGTTTTGTGTAAAATACGTAGGGGTTCTGTGTAATTAATGATATTTTTGTTTAAATTTTTTTTGTGTGATTTGTATGTTATTAAAGACCACGTAATCAGCAAAGCCATAGGCTCACAAGCATTTTTTGTGTGCAGAAATAGTGCATGTTGAAGACCAGGGTTCAAATCATGCAGAAGAGAAGTGCAAATAGCCTGTTACCTATAGCCTAAGGTAAAAAAAACAAATGTACAAATAGTAATGCACATTTTATTTAAGGTATGCACTTTTTTGAGTTATAATAATTAGATAAATCAGTTAAAAATAGCCATTTTTTTAAACATTAGGTTCTTGTTTAAAGAATCTTGTATTGCTTTCATATATACTTGCTGAATTTTGAGTGGTTTGTTGGCAAGTTTGATCATTGATAATAATACATTCAGCTGGATCTTAGCTGCACAGTGTCTTGAAATATCGATCACTAGAACTTGCACTACTAGTGCATGCTGTTAGGCCTAACTGACCTGGCATAGAATCTTTTTCAGAAAAGAGTGAACTTATCATCAAGTTCTTCCTTCTTTGGCTATGATTATACAGGTAAGAATGAGCTTATCTTTGGCATTTTCTGTAAAATAGCATCTTGTGGATGTGTCTTCTCTAGTTGCTTAAAATCATTTGCCAATGGTTACTAGTATGATTGGCACTTTTTAATAACTGAAACTACTAAGTACTTATCTTCTCACAAACTAGGTCCATTCTTGGGCCTTATTTCAAAGTTGTGGGGTGGCCACATGTTGGGCACTATTTGTTTTGTGGTGATTTCATTTTTCGTATTCCCCTATGCCCGAGTCTGTAAAGCCTGTAATTTAATCTGGTCCTGCTAAATAAAATAGTTTATACATTATCCATTGAGAAAGTTTGCTCAACCAAAGGAAACAATGCCAGGGGTGTTTACTTATCCAAAGAAAATATTCCACTGTTAGACCATAGGAAGTTTACTCATTCCAACAAAACATGCTATTGACAGACATCAAAAAAGCTTACAACCAAAAAGTTTACTCACCATATTGTTAGTTGCCGAGAGTGTTTACTCACCTAAAGAAAACACCATATTTATAGTTCTTAAGAAAGCTTACATGGCCAAAAGAAACATGATATTGTTGCCACCAAGGAAGTTTAATAGCCCAGAGGAACATATTATTGTTAGATGCTAACAAAGTTTACTCACACACAAAAAAACCAGCATTGTTATTTGTTAGGAACGTGTACTTGCTAAAAGACAATATCCTGCATTGTACTGGTGGTTCTGTGGTAAGATAGTGAGCGTCTAATGCTAAAGATCAGGTTTTGATACCTGCAGGGTGCAGAGAACCCATTGTTTAGCTTTTTGCTTAAACACGGAACAAATTAGTTAATGAACTAAGTGTAATAACAACATGGAGCCAAAATAGGGGTTAGTAGTTCGAGTAAATAATGTCTACAGTACCCCCAGCCTTGTTTCCTTACTTTTTTTCACGATCCCTGTTTGCAGGTTTTTATATTCCCATTTTTTTATTTAACTTGTATTTCTTGTTCTTCTTCTATATTTTTCCGGTCCACTTCTGTCTCCTTTCCATTTTTTATTCAACAAGTCCCATCCCCCTAGTGGCTCAGCGGTAAGTTTTGAAGGCTTATTTACGCTAAAACCGGGTTTCTATATCTGTGGTGGGCATAGCACAGATAGCCCATTGTGTAGTTTTGTGCTTAACAACACACAAAACAGATTATGTAATTATTAAACAATAACTTTATGTGTGTGTGGTGGGGGGGGGGGGCTTTTGAATTGGGAAATAGGGACAACTAGCGAAGATAGCTCTTGAGTAGTTTGCGTAAATATCTGAAGAAAAAAAACTAACATTTTTTTGCATTATGTATTATTTAATTGGGTTTTTAAAGTATTAACTCAAGACCTTTACGGATATTTCAGTCATAACGACGTACAACTCACGAAATTTTGGACCAGATACTTTTACATTCTATCATAAAAATACAACGATTTGGTTTTGTTTGTCCATTCAGTCATAGCAGTCTCTAAACTTACATTCTATCATAAAGATACAACGATTTGGTTTTGTTTGTCCATTCAGTCATAGCAGTTTCTAAACCTACATTCTATCATAAAGATACAACGATTTGGTTTTGTTTGTCCATTCAGTCATAGCAGTTTCTAAACCTACATTCTATCATAAAGATACAACGATTTGGTTTTGTTTGTCCATTCAGTCATAGCAGTCTCTAAACTTACATTCTATCATAAAGATACAACGATTTGGTTTTGTTTGTCCATTCAGTCATAGCAGTTTCTAAACTGACATTCTGTCATAAAGATACAGCGATTTGGTTTTGTTTGTCCATTCAGTCATAGCAGTCTCTAAACTCACATTCTATCATAAAGATACAACGATTTGGTTTTGTTTGTCCATTCAGTCATAGCAGTTTCTGAACTTACATTCTATCATAAAGATACAACGATTTGGTTTTGTTTGTCCATTCAGTCATAGCAGTCTCTAAACTCACATTCTATCATAAAGATACAACGATTTGGTTTTGTTTGTCCATTCAGTCATAGCAGTCTCTAAACTTACATTCTATCATAAAGATACAACGATTAGGTTTTATTTGTCCATTCAGTCATAGCAGTCTCTAAACTTACATTCTATCATAAAGATACAACGATTTGGTTTTGTTTGTCCATTCAGTCATAGCAGTTTCTAAACCTACATTCTATCATAAAGATACAACGATTTGGTTTTGTTTGTCCATTCAGTCATAGCAGTTTCTAAACCTACATTCTATCATAAAGATACAACGATTTGGTTTTGTTTGTCCATTC